AATAAACAAATTTATTTGTTTATTTTTTATTATAATAACTAATTTTTTATTTGTATATATATAAGCTCAAATACCACAAGTTCCTATTTCACAAAGAGAAATTTCGAAAGTAGACAAGAAAGATAAATGAGAGATGTGACTTCAATAACATGTCTTAAATATTATTGTAATTTACTTACAAGAGGTAAAAGTGATTTTAAGAATAAATTTAGAGTCTTCTACTTCTATTGGGTTGGAAAGTAGGGATGTCGAACTCACTGTTCTTCCTAGTGTCTTCATCTAGATTCAAATGATAATACATAATAAACAAAAAAAGAGTGTTTGCTTCTTTTTTTCTTATTTACTAATTGAGGTGAGTCTTTTGTCAACATTTTTTGGTGGTTACATGAAATGGGGGGTTTTCTGGGATGGTTGGCTTGTAGCTACAGAACTTGCTCATCTCTTAGCATGTCAATGCAAGTTAATTATGATTCGTCCACCCATCTATATATTGGGGTCTCTTCATAGGCTGCAAAACAAGGATAGTTGAAGTGACATTACCAGTTCTCTTTGGTCTCTGCTGGAGGATGGTAAACTTACCAAAACTTGGTGGTTATGTGTTTGTGTTTTAACAGCATGGAGCTTATCTCTCTCAACCTGTTTATGGTCATTGCTTAGGAATGTTAATTTTCATTGGGCGCCTTTGAATCTCTGTGCTATAAGTGAGATGGTTACGTAGCCTTGTGGAACATATTAGACTCTGAAACAAGAGTAGGAATAAAGTTTTTCATATTAGGTTTCATAGGGTTCAATCATTTTAGATTGGGAATTCTTCTACTTTGAAAAGTATCTTGATGAATTCATTATTATATTTATCAAAAAAAAAAATTTCATGATTTTAGACTGATTATTTGTTTGACACACAAGCAAAAATAGACTTTTACCTTTTATATCACTGGTTAAGTTGAAAAATCCTAAAGCAAGATAAAAAGTATTGGAGTAAACATTCCCACAATTGTGCTCAAACTTAATGTGAATATTATAGATCACTGAAGTTTTACAATGAGGAGGTAGCATAAAGCTGGCTAAACATGTTAAAGTCTAAACTTTGATGTTAAGTATACGCATCTTCCTGTACAGAAATTCAAAAAATTGAAATATAAGTTTTAAACCAAATAATGAAAGAAAAAAGACTATACAGAAAATCAAAAACTAAAAATGCTACTTGATTAACAGGGATTGAAGAGTTTATTGAACATCACATAGCATTTGAATGGTAAGGGGCACTCAATTCTTGAGGAGCACTTCTAATTATTTGCCTGGCATCTAGTCATTGTTGCATCAATTAAATTGCTAGAAACAAGGAAAATTGTAGTATTAACAGCAGTGGGCGGCTCTCCAATGTGGCTAACACCTTTGTTATTTTGTAGTTGATCAAGTTCTAATGATATTGGCATCCCTTGTAGTGTGTTAACATTATGGTTCCAAGAATCACGAAAGACTACTACTTGCTTTAATCATTACTGGTATTGCCCAAGTTTTGCACATGACTTGATTGAATAATTTCAGGAGAAGGAAGGCTACGCATACCTAACGCAGCAAGTGTGTTCAATCTTCCAAGCACACCTCTAGGTGGGAAAGATCTTAATGTTGGATTGTGAAGCTGGTCAGATCTTGCCAAGGTATGGAAATTCCCCAGTCCATTTTGAGTCCCCATACGCAAATAGGTAGAATTTGCACTGCTCAATGTTGCCGCCATATTCTCTTGCTGGTTTGCCACAGAGTTAATTCCTTTCAAGTGGAACCTATATTTCTGCAACCATAAAATAAGACAGTTGAGTACCTGATAAGATAGGATCATAGTAACTTTGGTAGGAAAGTTCAGGATCAATGCCTGGAGATGGTTGGCACCATTTTCTCTGGTAATCTTTTCAACATTCATTAATTCTAGGAACTTTTTAGGTACAACTTCCACGTTAAAACCACGTGACAAGTTACCATGGAAGCTTCATGCATAAGTAGATTCATGTATGTAACAGAGCAGTTTAAAGAATACGCCAGAGGACCGAGAATTGAATTTTCAGCAATAAGAATATCATGGAATATTTTCTCAGCAATATGCTAAGAAACAACTAAACAAACAAAAGGTTTTGCATGAGGAAAGTTAAATTCAAAACCCCATTGTTAAAGCCAGAACTTTTCCTAGAATAGTAACTCAAACAAAAAGCCAAAGGGTTCCAAGTTCCAGAGTTAAAACAGAAACTAGAAATGTTCATCCCAATTTTTCTTCTTCAGCTGGATGTTCAAGCACAAAGAACAATAAGTGATTTTGAAAATTGCCCTCCAGATAATTTTAATTGTTTTTAATCATAAAAAAAGATTTTGAGATAAAAATATCTTTAATGAGACATCTTCATTAACGCACACTGTCATACGCACGTCAAATGAAAAAAATAAATCTATAAAGAATTTACTCTCTAATTTTGTGTAAAACATCTAATTTTTTAATAAATTCTTAAAGGATGCCTTTGACAAGAAATTAATGTTCAGGAATGGAAATGTAAGTAATGCCCCTTATAGGAATGCAATGGGAAAACATCAAACAAAATCGATTTTTTTTTTTTTGCAAAAAATGATGCATTCAGATTAATGATGCTTGTCGGTGGAAGAGATAGAGATCGATTTCTTGAATTTGTAAAAGATGATTTCTTCAAAAAGATTGATTGAAACGAATGATGCTCCTATGGTGGGTGACAATGGATGGAATTGATTTGGTGAAAGATAATGCATATAATCTAATCATGTCTCTTGGTGGGAAAAGATTGAAAGTGATTTCTTGATTTTACTCTTATACAAGGTTAGAGAGAGATTGGAGACACACCTTACATCCAAATGGTTTAGGTTTATTATAGACTTCATCAAGTTAAGTTAGTTTTTTGATTGAAATGTTATCAGAGTCATCCTTATATCCAGGAGGTCATCCTAAAGGTTATTGCCGAGACTGTGATGGCACCAAGGTAAGTGGGCATGTTCAGGAACACAGTGGAGATTAGAAACATATAAGTGTCATTCTAGACTTCATCCAGCCTTCAGCATAAACCTCAACCTGAAACGAGTTACTCCAAGTAACTCAAAAAGATATAAGCTCAAAACAACCAAATTTGATAACGAGCCAACTCTGTTTGCAGTCTCTAGCCAGCCCTTTCCGGGCATCCTACTTTGCTCATGGCAGGTTCCCTGTTCCAAAGTCATCAAAAGTTTTGAGAACTAAACCAGCTATTAGCTCCAATCTTTTATGACCTACTGAGAGAGAATTTATCCTTCTATCAAACAAACACATTGTCTGCTTTAACTCTTTCCGAACAAAGTATAATGCAGAATCACAACATGGCTTGCCAGCAATGTGTGACAAAACTTTGATAAAGTCCCTTTTTTCCTTTACAGACTGTGCAACAGTAGGCGAGTTCCATAAAACTATCATATGGAAACTGGCAAGAGTACAAGCAGCCACACCATTCCTTATAAAAGAAGAGGTCTCCAGCCACTTACAAGTACTAAATGTAGTGGTATGTTACACTGCCAATCAGAAAGATCTAAGCATTTATTCAAATCAATAGCAGTGATCTTTTGGGTGAAAAAACGCAAAGGAATGAAAGATAACTTACAATGCAACTTAACATACCAGTATACAATACTACTGCTAACATAGAAGACACAATAAATCTTGAAAACACTCCTATCCTATATAATTATTCCTGGTCAATCTCCTTAAAACGCCATGCAGCATGGAAAAATCGAAACAATTTTATTCGGCCAATCCTCTATCGTCCCGGTATACTTCGTTAATCTTAGAATTCACATTTGAGGGCTATTGGCAAACGGCAAAACAACCAAGGTAACAAGACTCAGGTCAATGAAGTCTCCTGCATGCCTCATATAAATCAAGATGTTTGCTATTTCCCCACAGAAAAGTAAGATTTATGACATATATACCATTACATAGCATTTGAATTATTCCTTCAATCCCACCAGTTTCTCTAAAATTTCAGCAAACCATTTAGAATTTTGGAATAGAAATACATGGGAAGACTACAAAAACCAAAATCAGTATATGTTTCATCACATTTTCAGTAAATTCTCTACCCTCATAGCGGTGCTCCATAATTTTGATATTCCTCCCTATGTAATTCAAACTCAGAATGCAATCTCTGGAAGTATAAGCGACATCTAAAGCACAAATTCCTCTGAATTCAGATAATCACTGGACCTAAATAATGTGTCAGCAGATCAGGTTAACAAAAAACGTTCTTCAGACCTAAATTAACTGCAATTCCACAAATATCACTGTCTTATATCATAAACATTATAGTAAATGTAGTCTTTAATAAACTAACCAATTTTCAGCCAAATCAGGTTATCTAGACATATATTCTAGCAGAATGACCAAGCTCTAACTAAGTTCTCATAAGTATACATCAAACTATCTGATTTCTCATTATAATACAATTACAACCACAACTGGGCCTTGCTCAGTCCCATATTCAACAGAATTCAGCAGACTGAGCAACCAAATAAGTGTTGTTCCAACTCTCATGTGACCTTTGAAGTCTGGGGACTTGCAGGAAAAATTTTCCATGGGTGCAAGACTGAAAGATTCCATTTTTGTGATCTAACAAGTGGAAAGATGCCGCCAGGGGAGGAAAATGAACGAAAGAAAGCAGGTGAAAGAGTGTTAGAGATTAGTTTTGCAGCCTAATTAAAACTAATATGAATAGACATACAGCATTGTATCTAAAATATCAAAAAAAAAAAACTCTATTACCCAATGCTATATATATTATATACAAAGCAGACACATAAATAAAGACCAAAGAAGATGAAAATTATAGTTACCATCCAAAATTGTAAGAATCACCATATAAGTCAGAAATTCCTTTACCTGATACCATGTTCTTCTGCCATAGAGAAGTCAACAACAAATATCTGAAATCTTGACCAAGGATCCTTATTGATAAAACAGATTCTTAAAATGTAAATGGGAATTTCATTGAATATTATTATCTAGATACACAATAAGAATTATGAGAAACAAATATCTTAATAAAAATAATAGCTAAGAAGTCAATTAAAAAAAATTTTATTGTCTACAATATTGTACAACTACAATTATACCAAGTGATATCTGAGAAGCAGTACTAGCAAAAGTGAAGAAGAGGTCCTGATCATGAACTCTATAATTATTGTAGCTTCAGGAGCAGCCATATCTAGGTATTGCAGAAGAATGCAACATGGTAGGTGGTAAATCTTGTAATTACAATATGGATCTATGAGGCAACTTTATCAGAAAACAACCATAATGTACTTTGACTGGATGTTTATAAAGCTGATAATTACACTAGGCTCTGGGTAGCCAATATTTAGGTACCCTCTTCCAGTCACTCTTTAGTTTTGCATTTGCATTTCCTTTGATGCTCTGTGAGTTCCTGCGAAGATCAGGTTTCTCAGTAGGCAATTTTTTTTTTCCTTTTACTGCAGCACCAGTCATATACCACATAGTGTTGCCTCCTTTCTTATTTGAATACATATTACTAACTAGCAGCGAGGTGAAATAAAAAACTCTGGAATATCGTTTAGAGATCAGCAAAAGAGGAGGGGGGGCAGGGGGAGATTCTATGTATTTCTAAAAGTTTAGATCCACTTCATTATGAAAATCAAATGGACAAATTTGTCCGACAAGTTTAATAAAGGAGTACCTCAATCTGCTTCTGAAGATATTTAACGTATTCTACTGCCTCATCTAGCATGTCAGCAGTGTTTGTTTGCTGCAAGGTGCAAGAAGGAAAATTACCAAGTCAAATAGTGTAAGATACAACTCATGATATACCTCAAAAGATTTTTTCACATAACATTCACATTTTAGAAAAATCAGATCATTTTTGTTTTAACAATTTGGATGATTTGGGATAGAAAGGCATTAAGCATGCATTGATGCAAAACTTAGTACACAACTTGGAACAAATGCTTAAAACAAAAGGTCATGAGTTCATTTCACCTAAATCCCTTTTCTCATTGTACTCTCCTAAGGTGGGGTATCATTTATTACTACAAAACTTGACTAAAGTAGGTCAAATGGAAGAATTAGCCACCACTTAGTAGTCTTATTTGCACTCAACCTTTCTATGAAAGCTTCAGTTTTCTCTCAATCTCCTGGCACCACCAAAATCACAACAGTAATAACAAAAACTAAGTCTTTTCCCACTCATCACTTTAACAACAAAAAAAGAATATAAAGAGAATGAAGAAAACTTCTTAGAATGACCTTGTCAGAAATTGAATTCACAGACTCTAAACCTTTGAAGTGGCAAAATTTTCAAGGCATTTGCTACTACACAGATGAAAGCAACTCGAAGAATCAGTATAATCTTGAACCCTCCAGCAACTATGGCACAGTAACCATTCCTGTTACCTCATTTATATTTGGTCTTGGTTTTGCCTATAATTAAAAGGTCTAAAGTGACAAGCTGAGTTAATTGGGAAAGGATAAAACTCATAAATTCTCAACCTACTTAGTTCGACCTTCAGCAGCCTCAGTTTGTGAGACTGAAAAATTGTATCCTTATTAAGTTCAACTTTGTAACTACCAGAAAATAAACTGCATCCATAGATCTATAAAGTTTCTATTTTGGTATTAAATCCAGTAGAATAGAGCATCAGATCCATTTATCTTATTTTTTATCTCACCATAAAGTTCATAGAATGTAAATATCTTATTTCTCAAAAATCCTATGAAATCCCTTCATCCTTCATAAAGTTAAACTTACGTTAATACATCTAGCTTTCCTTGGTTCAAAAAACCTAAAAAGATTACATATGTAGATTTCAAATGACAAAATGATCACTTAAACATAAATTTATAGGATAGCCAAGAATGTATTGTTTACTTAAATTATAGGGTTTAAAGATATCTACTATTGTGGCATCTTACACATGTCAATTTCGTATAACTTATGTCTTGTATAATCTAAAGAAACAGAAATTGGGGGAAAAGCTTCTATCAAAAGATTAGCTCAAACTGTTCGACTTAAAGAATTGAACCCAACAAGGTAATCAATCCATATATGGCCTAGATATGACAAGTTTTTTATTTCTAATTTAAGAGAGAGATCTTTCAAATGCCTTTCATCCCCAAAAAGAACTTTTCCATTTTTCCTACTAATGGAATTGAATACATCTTTGTATTGATATAAAAAAAAAAAAAACCTTGCTATGTAAACTACAAAAATCAAGCACACCACTTTGCTAACAGTGATTGAGCCTTTAAAACTAGGCAGTCAAGCTCCATCTGGAATTATCTGCAGAAGGCATGAGTACCAACAAAAATCCCACAGTGGCACAGTGAACATTCTTACATTGATATTATCAGTGCAAGAATCCTGTACCTCATCATGAATACTTGAGGCAGCCTATCTCACCTTCTAACTCTAAGGCTGCATATTAACATCAACCTTTTTCTTCTGTTATTGAGACTGGTCATATAAAAGCAACAGCCACCGAATTGAACTATTCTTCTCCTCAAAAACCTTAGCCAGTTAAATATATGAATCTGGGGAAGTATAGATAAGAGAGATTTTTGTATGTTATTATAACAACTTTACAGTTGCATGTACAAAAGCTACTACAAATGCTCATGCCAACTAACCTATATTTCTGTATAGTTGTTCTTCTCATTCATGTCTCTTTCAGTGAGACATATCAATGAATTTGGCATCCAATTTTAGAATACTACAATTGATATAGGTTACTATCTGAAAATTTAAAGAAGCTATCTTCCCATGAAACTTTGAATTTCTTGATTAAAGTTGACGCCAACATGTAAACCTACCTTATCCATGTTGGGCACAAGCTCCTGAAGCTTTCTGATACGGTCACTGATTCGTGTTCTACGAACCTAATCAAAAATAGTGGTGAATAGTTAGAATTCCAAAGAAACAATATTATTTTATACATTATCAATGAATGTATTCATAAATGAAATATGCTAACCCTTTCTGCAATGCTCCGAGGATGAGTTGCACAGCCACGCTTGGCACGGACCCTGCACGGTACTGAATCCTCCAAAAGCTTCTCCATATCCATATCTATCAAATTGGATACCCCACTAGAAATCTGACCACGTTGCTCTCCTTTCTACCGAAAAATTTGAAAGGCAAAAACAAAGAAGGAAAAAGAAAGGTATTGTAAATGCAGAATTCCAACAATTTAAACTATAATATGATTTTGCTAAAAGAAGAACTGTAGACATATCCCGTTTTGGCTAGAAATGGGAGGTTATTAGTTAGTCATGCTTTAGAAAACAAAATTTAAAGCCTAAACCTCCAGTACTATGAAAAGAAGACTAATGAATATAATAAAGGGGCAATTCGAAGACAGCAGAAACATAAACAAATTAACTAGTATTTCAAAACCCAATTTATAGAAAACAGAAACAGGCAAAGCAACAAGCCTTCCAAGTTGGTTTAGTATAGTTATCTCTTACCAACTGAGACTGAAACTTTGTTGGCGGGTACTGCGTATCAAGTTCTCTAGCCCGCTTACTCGAGGGAGAAGCATCGATGTTTGTTGATAAATAGTCATAATTTGCAGGAATTCCAAAGTTTGTGAAGTAGGCATCAGAGGCAGCACCGGAATTATTCCCAAGAAAATCAGCCGGAGAACTGTTTTGCCTCTGAAAGCCAGTAGGTTCAAACAACCCAGCTGGATCAGCTGAGCTGGAGAAAGGCCCTGAATCTCTAGTGGCGGGTGCTGTTGAATTGGCAGTGAGCAGCTGTGTCAAGCACTGGTTAGGCTTTAAAGGGTCCTCTTCTTCTTCCTCAAGAAGTGCTTCTAACCAGGTGGCTGGAGCCGAGCGGTACCGAGCGAGTCCACCTCGACTCAATTCACCACCACCACTAGAGCTGCCGCTTCCACCAGGCGTCGGTTGCATCTGCTTCTAGTTCAGTTCGAGGAGCTAGCTTTTTCTCTTATCGGTGTTTGCGAACCTCTTCAAGCTTCAATGCAGAAGAAGAAAAAAGGAAATACGGAAACCCTTTCCTTTTGTTGCTTTACCTTTTAAGACAAAACCAGAAACATTTACAGCATTATTATACAGTATTAGTAATTTTCACATGTGGATGTGCCCCAACAGTTGTTTTGTTTATTTTTGGCAGGTCTTATGCATGGCATGATTTTGGACCGTCGGATTACCATCAGATGTTATTGCCAAACCTTCGAGGAAAACACAGATCCAACGGTGGTGACGTACGCTCTCTCAGAAAAGGGGGAAAAACATGTAAGGCCAGAAGCCGCAAACCCCATCATTTTCTTTCAGATTTTCATTACCGTAATCTCTGGAAAAACATAGAAAGCTTTACAGTTTTGTTTCAGACTCAGAAGCTTCCGTGATGTTCACCGTCCAATTAAAATTCGGAATGGTGGTTGCGTGGAGAAAACCGGTTAAGAAAGTGTGGGAAACGAATTTGGTTGCTTGATGTGGCAAATTTAAGGAGGGGAAGACTGCGATTGCACCTGTCCACAAATGCAAATGAGAAAAGGTTGAGAGTAAGAACTCAGAAGTAAGACGTGGACTTTCACTTTCTTCTTTACTTTTTTATTTATTTATTTTTTAATTTTAAACTAGTTTAGTGACTAGTAGGGGACCACGAGATACTTCCTCCTATTTTGTTAGTTATTTTTATAACCCATAATGTTTTATTTTTTCATTTTTTTATTAGAACTTTAAAAAAATCAATCTTCTCAATAATATTTAAATTTTAATTTAAAATATAATAATAATTTTCTTAAATTCAAAATAAAAAAATAAAAGAGAAAATGTTATGAATATATGTGTGAATTTTATTTTATCAGTTAAAAAGTTCAAATCAAGTCAAATAATGCAAACTAGCCTCACACAAGAAACGTAATCTGATTTGAATTCTTAGATTTAATTATGTATATCTAGATTTGAATATAAATTAAATTAAATTAAGATTAAAATTTATGGGGTTATTAGCTTTTTGTTTCATTTGTAAATACATAATTATGTAAAATCTTTTTTACTTTATTAATACTTTTCTTTCATAGTTGTTCTTTTAGTTTATATTTCATAACATGTTATCAACATGATTTCTAATCTCTCAAGCTTTAACTTCAAAAAAGATTTCAATGGTTAATCTTTGATTTTTAGTTTTAGCAAATTAGGTAAATGACTTGATATATCTTTAGTGTTTTTATTCCCTAAAAATTAACCTTACTATGAATTTGCTATCATGCACTAACTAAAATATTTTTCCTTTTAATTTGTTAAATTGGAATGTGAATTTGTTATCTTGTAGTATATATCATTTTTTCCTTGATTTATTAAATTAGATTGAATATGCAAATATATATAATTATATATGATCTTTTAATTCTAGCATTGGAATACGATTTGCTCAATATATGATTTATTTCTTGAATTCCAACAATGATTTTGCTCAACATATGTAAATCTATTTTTTGATATAGTGAGATTTTGCACAAGATATTTTTGAATTAAATATATGAAATTGACTTTGTTTGATATTTATCTTGTAACAAGTGACAAATACTATACTTTAGGTAATTTAAAAATTCATTTTGTTTGGATTTCATGAATTTTTGTGGTTGAGCAAAATAATGAGCTACTAATAAAAAATCAAAAACTATGTCTATTTCTTGAGTTGAATGTGACATTATTTAATAATTATGGTCATGAAGTAGAAAAGGTCACCATAATTATTACAATTGTGGTGGTCACACTAATCATTATTCTAACAATAAGAATACTTTAACCTACCAAGAATGGATGAATACTTTAACCCACCAAGAATGGATGAATACTTTTAACCCACAATGATTGAATGAAAAGTTTTAACCCACAAGGAATGGATGACTACTTTTTATTGGTCTCCAAGAATATGCTAGAGATGGGTGAAAATCACTTTTTGAATAACACAAAAATTCTTTTCAAGTTAAAAATTGATTGAGGGAATTTGACAATAGAAGTTTAAGGCTTATAGGAGGAGTAATTTAAGAGTTAAGAAAAAAAATAAAAATGAAAGAAAATAGATAAAGTACAATGATTTATAGTAGTTCAATCCCCTTAAGCTACATCCACTACTTTGATCTCTCAATCAAGGATTTTCAAACCAATTCACTAAAATCAATAGAATTCTCAAGCTTCCACCAAGATTTTACAATGACTTTTCACAAGTTCAACCACAACCTTTAACAATAGGTTTTTTCGGGATCAACCAAACTCAAAACTAACTTTTTTAAGGTTAAGTTAGAACCTATAACAACTACCAAGCTAACCCAAGCTTGATCAACCGTTTAAAGTGCCTCGCACACTCTAAATAAGTAAAAAATAGAAAAAAAATGAAATACAATTAATCATTTAGCCGATCTAAAATGTAAAAAGTTAATCTCAAATCCTTTTTCAAAGGATGGGAGTGAAATATAAATGTTAAGATAAGGTTTTTTATCTTCTAAGCTCAAAATAACTTTGGATATCTTCTCTGTTACTTCTTTGATCGTTGGAGTTTTAATTTATACTTGGAAAATCAGATTTTACTGTTAAAGACAGTTTCTAGTTGTTGAGAACAACTCTGATACCATTCTAACTATTATTTTTTCTTTTGGCATATAAATTAAAATAGGCAGACAGACTTCTGCTAACTGGTTACGGGCAAGTTCTAATCAATTATACGTTTTCTACCTTGCACTGTCTTGCAGCTGTGTATACTGTGTTAACTGGTTAGAGAAGGCTCCAACCAATTAAAAACCTTCTGTTTTCAATCTTCTCAAAGCATCATTCATTCTTTAATTGGTTAGCCTTACCTTTAACTGGTTGAAGCTTCACTTCCTTCAGTTTGAATCGATTAAAATCAACTTTAATCAATTTAAAAATCTTCAAATTTTGAGTTTCTCCATTTTGGCTCCCTTCAACAATCAACTTTCTTTGAAATTTGATTTTGGCATTTACAAGTACTAAGGCCTTGTGCCCTAACCGATTAATCAAACTCCTTAATCGATTAGCATAACTCTATTTTCAATTTCCAGCACCTCTTTAATCTGTTGGCTATGGTGCTAACCGATTATAGCTTTTTTGTCTTGGTTTTACCGAGTACCCAATTGTGCCTTAACTGATTAAGGCTCTTTGTTAATCAATTACTAATGTTTTGTCTTTACTAATCACTTTCTTCTTTCTTTCTTTAACTGATTAACTTTTCTTTAAATTTAGCTAGCATCTTGACTTGCCTTTGATTAACAAATTTGTTAGGGGAATTAAACTATATTCTGCACACTTAAATAATAAAGTTAAACATTAATGCATAAGGAATGTTTTGTTATCACAAAAAACATATGGAGTCAACATTCTCCCTATTTTTTGATGCTGAAAAAACACTCCTGAATTAAGAGTACAATGTTTTTAAAACAATAAATTTTATATGCAGATTTAGGGATTGCGTCCCATATATGTATGCTACCCCTTAATATATGCATAGAAAATAATATTTAAAATATTCGAAATGTATAAACATTAAGAACACTAAGAGTATAGACATAAGCTTTCAACATGAGAACATATATATATATATATATAATCATCCAACATGCACATAACTAGTAGTCCAACATAAAAAACACAGCACAAAAACATAAATACATAAATATTGTTCACATCATAGAACATAAACATTGTTCACCCTATCTTTCTATTTTCTTTCCTTTTTGTCATCAATCAAAAGAGAAAGAGGCCTAAGTTTGTAGTTCAACTAATTAGAGTTTGATGAAGACTCATTCACTAATAATTCATCACTTCTTAGGTGAACATCTAGAGAGGCAACATGAAGGGAATGAAGGGATTCAGTTTTGGATGAAGAAGAGGATCCAAGAGATATAAGTTCAGGGGATGCAGATTTGAGGGTTGGCTTTGTAGTGGATTGAGCTATCCTAATAGATTTGCTTCTTCTAAATACCTTGGTCTTTATAGCCATTGTCTTTTTTCCTTTTCCAAAAGTTTTCTTAGCTTAATCTGTTTGACCTGCAATTTTCTCTTCATTTTTTTGAGTTGATTATGCCTTTTGCTCCATCCTTTCTCTTACTTTTTACTAGTCAGCTTTAGCTTCTTTGAGTAATTCAACAATCAATTTTGGTGCCTCTATCTTTCTAGATTCTATGGGTGATTTGGCATCTCTTTTTGCTACTACTGACTTTCCTTCATTCATATTTTTTTTTCAATTTTTGGTTCTTTCTTTATTTCTTTTTCTTGATCATTTCTCTCGGTTATTTGTTCACTTTCTTTTTCCTTCTCAACTCCTTTAACTGTTTCTTCTCTAGGATTCATTCCTTTATATTGATCCATGTTGTCATTTTCAGCTCTTTCTTTCCCAGTTTCACTTTCATGGTTAGATGTAGGGATCTGAAACTACTTTGTGGTAATTCTTTCACTTGAAGCACTTGCAAGTATAGTTTAGTTTTAAAGAACAGGGTATTTAGTTATCTTTTCTTTGAGAATGAGGTCCTCAAGATGTTGTAACTTTTTTTCAATTTTGACCATTTTCTTAACTTGTTTAGTAAACTTCCCATCAATTCTCATTAAGAGATTAAACACCATTTTGCTTTGACAAAGGGCCTGACTAGTGTTTAAGTGAGATGTAAAGGGTGTTTCAGTGTCTGAAGGGAATAGGGTGCCTATAATGGATTTGATGCACTTTTTTTAGTCTAGCTTATATCCCATCTTTAACACACTACCCAACAAGATTCCTTGATCTTCGCTTTTCATTAAATCTGTTTGAAATCTGATGCTTCAAATCCCTTTTTTCTTGACAAGGGATAAGATAATGTTGCCATATGGAAAATTTGCTTTGTCTCCAAAAAGTGTTCTTTTGTTTTTTTTCAATCACAAACCTAGCTATATTTAATGGGATTTCATTGAAAGTTCACTCCATCAGCCAGAGATCTTAGGCACTAATATAACTAAAGCCGTTGCTTCTACCATGAGGTGTGGTAGTAATGAGGTATTGGAAGATTTTTAATTAAGCATTTTTAATGTTACTAGCATAGTTCTTA